ATTCCAATACTGCAACCGTACACATTTGCAAACATTCCTGGAATGCTGCACGAGAAGGCTATGAACCCCCTAGGGTACTTATGTCTTTCTCCGTCAACCTTTTCTACTTGACCTTCCCGATAACCTTGGCCTCGAAACGCTCATGCAGTTACTATAACTCCTGGGCCTTGCAGACTGACGGTTTGTGCGCCGCAAGTATCTCGGCTGGGTTCATGGTTGCACTTATAAGCTAGCCGATTTAGCAGCGTGAGTCAAATCTTCATTGGTGAATGACAGACGCATCTTCCAACCAAATTTCGTCCTTGGCTTGCTTCCTGCCAAACGCGCCCTCCCTGGCGACCAGCACTTGGATCTTCGGACTTTTTCCTTTCTGTACATTCGCAGTACAAAGTACGACCAACACGCCAGATTTTCAAGATCTGCATCTAAACGACGACCACACGTACGACTCGCGTTTTTATAACCGAAATCTGTCTCGATTGAGATCAGATGGGGATCACTAACGAATCCAGTGGGTCCACTGCACCTCAAACCCGACCTCGCCCCTCCCAGAGGTATCAGAGTGGCAAGCCGCGCCATGGCAGATCGGTCGCGAAGGTAAGCAGCAGTCAGCCTCAAGAGCCGACCGTATACTGATTATAGTCCAGGGTACGGACGAGATGGATACGACGACAACGATCGGGACAGAGCCGGCAGGGGTCGAGAAATTGTTCATGCGCGAAGATCCTCCGTGATTCGTATAGGCGCTAATGGCTGTGCAGGACGGTTTCGACTGGCGTGGGTATAACAAAGCAGGTTTCAGTATCGCCTCCAAGATCGATACGTGACCGATAAAAGCAGACACCCTTTACAGACCGCGAGGGCTTCAAGAACAATTTGATGGACGCTGAGGGCTACTTTGACGATGGGCACGGTATCATCGAGCACACTCAAACAGTCTCGACGTCGGCTAATCGACCCGCTAGACTTCGAAGGATTCGACGTCCTAGGCTACTCCTTCACACGCCTCCATCGCCCCCTGTACAAAAGCGATGGCCACGACATCGTCCACGACCGCGATGCCTTCGGATACTCGAGAGCCGGCTTCAATAGGCAGGATTACGATCCCCACGGCTTCGATGCTGAAGGCTATGGTACGCTTCCTCCATCGTAAATGACAGATCCTCTTTGCCGACCAGTAATCCCAGTGTCTGACCATCGCTGACTCTCAAAAGAATCGTCAGGCTTCTCAGCCACCGGTCTCGACCTAGAAGGCTACTTCCGAGCAGGTTTCAACAAACATCACCGTTCCCGCCAGAACGAGCCAGCTGAAGGCTGCTACCTCGCGCCAGAGGGGACCATGCGCCGTGTCGTCGACCACGAAGGTCCAGCCTGTCTGGCGGATTACATGTCCTGCACGGCTCCATCCGGCCGCCACAATGCCGCATATCGAGGTGGTAGCGCTATGTGCTATATTTGTCGCTTGGCCACTGATTCCTTCCATTATCAGTGTACTCAGTGTCTTGCGCCGCTGTGTAGTGCCTGTAGCCGCGATGCGATGTGACAGCGAATGAGGTGGTGAGGGGGAGGTATGTGTTTCCGGGCTGCGGGTCTCACGGGATTAGGAATGGCTGAGGCGTTGGAACAGATAGCGCAGTGAATGCGATGGTAGAATCCAAGAAAATGCATGATCCCAGTGTGATCTGAGATTTGCCGCATACTGTAGTACCCAGTGCAGACTCTGATGACATTGTGTATCCGTGCATTGAAGCTCCCTCCGCTCCTTCCTAAAGCAATAAGCGGCAGAATAGATTTTCAATTCCCCTGCACGAACATGGAGTTCTGAGTCTTGGCATGAAATGACAAAGTGAGAAAAAGAATTGGTAGCTGAAGCATCAGCGTTCATGTTGTAGCATATACATTACGTTCTCGGCACAGCGTCTGCCTCGCGCTACCGAACGCCCGCTATGCTGCATTGACCACATTGCTCAAACTCCAGGTCGATGGAGTGGTTGAAGGCACTATAGGTTGGTGAGGTAGTCCTCAATCTCTTGCGGGCTCAGCTTCCGGAAGCGAGGGCCAACGGCGCCTTCTACGCCTTCATAGCCGAGCAAGTGGTCTGCTGGTGGGCCGACGATGCCTGTGAAAATGTCAGCTCACGCATGCGATCACGGACGACAGAGTAGACGAACCAATCTCGACAGTGTCCCCGTTCATCTCACCCTCGATTGTCTCCTTCAGCGTCAACAGCGCAATGTGCACGGCATCCTCCAGCTCCAAACCCTCTGTGTATCTCTTCTCCAAGAATGTCTTCGCACTCGTCGCGCTCTTCCCAATCGCTGTTGCCTTCCACGGAAAGTACGATCCTGACGGGTCCACCTGGTACAACGACGGACCGCCCTTCAGGATACCGCCGGTCTTGCCCGTCTTCTTCTTCTTCTCGTCATCCACGTTCATCTCCTCCTTGCCTGCCTCTTCCGCGGCCTTCTCTGGCTCGATGCCGTCATCCCAGCCTGCAATCAGCAGACTTACGCCATATGGCCGCACACCACCTGATTGCGTCGCCTCCTGCATCACTCGCGCCACGTCCTGGACTAATATGCGGGTCGGTGGGTACTCGTTGTATATCCGCTTGTAATCCGTGTGGCTGACCTTCCGCGCCTTGTCGACCAACACTCTGTAATCCGGGCCCATTCCTGAGTAGACCATGCCGATGTTTGGTGTGATGAGGGAGATCTTTGATGACGAGTTGGCGTCTATGAGGGGTGTACTGGACTTCTTCTCGGTAGCGAGGACGATGCCGTTGGCGGCCTTGATGCCAAGGGAAGTGACACCTTGGTTGACTGCGTTCAGGGCGTATTCTGGGATGTGTGAGCACGTGAGGATACGGGGATGAGTCGCACTTGTTCTGACCTATTTGCACCAGCTTCCCGCTTGTATATGTTAGCATATGTCGTCACCAACACAATCTGGCGATTCATACCTGGGCGAGAATGTGGTGAGGGAGAAGGAGTATCGGTCGGCCATTTTGGCCTGACGCGGTTGCTGAACTTAGTACTTCAGACTGTGGCAGAGAATTGCTCTATTGTGACTCTGGATTGAGCTGTTGGCCTCCTGATGGGACTAGAATGCGGCGCAAAGAAGGGCTTGGATGTTGCTATGTCTGGACGTTCATCAGCAAGCACTTAGACGACGCGACTCTGCTGGAAGCATGGAGCATGGGCCACTCTCGGCTAAAACAATCACCGATAGTGACAACTTTGCATCCAATGTGACGTGAACTACTTTTGGAATCGGGAAGCTTGCATCTCCTTCAGCATCGCTCCTGCTCACGGGATCCAGTGTCTTCCATTTGGTTCCTGGCTCGACCATGCCAGCAAACACGAACCTGTCCCTTGCGATAGGACAGTGGACAGATATAGGCTGAAACCGCCAGTCCCGAAGAACCTACGTACCTAAGAGAAGGGCACCATGGCGGCATACACCTCAGGCAGTGATTGGACATTTCCGGACGACCTCCCTGGCAGCTGGTCCCAAGCCGACATTGATGCGCAATTACGTGCCGGGGAGAACACCAAACGAGAGCCGGGATCACAGTCTGAGCCGCATCAGCCAAAGGGCGAGGATGCCAGGCGCCGCCAGCACTGGAGGCCCCGTACGTGCCGTATCTGTCTGGAGGTTGTCCTGCCTACCTTTCACACAGAAGAGACCTCCTTGCCCATACCGGAGGCTATGCGTCCCGCCCCACGCGTGACATACGAGTCGCCGTGTGGTGATGGTGGACGACTCATCCGTCCGTGCAAATGCAAAGGCAGCCAAAAGTACGTGCACGAAGAATGCCTTGCCGCTTGGCGCAAGCAGGATCCGTTGCAAAAAAGAAACTACTTTGAGTGCCCGACCTGTCGATACCAGTACAAGCTGGCCCGTTTGTCATGGGCTAGCTACATCAGCAGTACAACGTCGCAGATCGGACTCACGCTTGTCATATTCTTGTCCGCCATATTTGTTCTCGGCTTCGTGGCAGATCCGATCATCAACCTTTATGTTGACCCAATCTCTACCATCACGACGGCAGGTGGACCAGCTGGAGCCATATTCTTCGAGGAGCCGACCTGGGCCGAGCACTTTCTGAAGGGCATGGCATCTTTAGGTCTGCTAGGCTTCGCCAAGTTCCTGCTAACATTGTCTCCATGGCAATGGTTCAACATCCGGAATTCTGGCGTCATGGTGGGCAGAGGCGGCACCGGCCGCGAAAGGGTGCAAGGCATCAGCTGGGTGGCTGTCGTCATCGGCATTGCAACCGTTTTGTGGGCACTATGGAAGGGCGTCCGCGCTTGGAGCAGGCGTGTGCTGGAGAACTGCGGTGAGAGCGTGCAGGACGTGCCACTTGCAGATGACGATGATGATGATGATGATGACTGACCATTCGACGTTGCTGACGAAGATGCATCTACGTCCTGTACTAGGCATCAACAATCAGCACTTACGATCAGCAATACCTACAACGGTCCGTTCTCTCTGTTCCGTCACTGTACCCTCTGCAGCATGTTTCCCGCGCTCGTCGCACTTCCTCCCTGCACGAATTAAGTTGGCATACCCCATTTCCTTGGGCTTCGATGGCATGACAATTAGTCTACGTGCGTACAATGAACCAATCCTTTTCTCTCGCTTTCCAGTGTTGTGCTGGAGTAGCTGTTCGAGAAGATGGTCACCAGTCATGACTGATGTACTCTACCACTCATGCTTGCAAGCACGAATATCGTGAATAAGCGGGCGTTCCTTCTGAGGAGGATGAGTCGTGAAATGTCTTGTCATGGCACATGAATCCCCAGCATGTGACACCTATAGCAACGAGTGCTTCGGGTGATGATTACAGCGTCTGCCCACCTCCTTGCGAGGTAAAAAGACTTGTCTCCTCAAAGTGCAAAATTTTGATTTCAAATAATATCTGCATCTAGTGTGCGACCGCCGGGACCTATAAAGCACTATCAGCATTGTGTTCCGCGGTAATGAAAGTAGTCCGGTGAACCCACTCGAACCCGGGCCTGCGCCTTGGGAAGGCGCAATTCTACCCTTGAACTACGGTCGCCGCTAATGACAAGGTTGGTATATCGAAAATATAGGATATATACCACATCATAGAAGGGAAAGCGGACTTCAGTGTTGGGCAGAAAAGTTCAATGAAGACCAAGGCTCGAGCTGCTGTTTACCTACTTGTCATTTGCACAGTTTGGCAGCAAAGGAATGCACTCTACATCGTGATCTTACCTCTACAGGTCCCCTGAGCAGGTCCTACCTGGTAAGCATGACACCAAACGTGGCGGTTTTGGTGGTAAGAGACAGTGATCTGGAGTGTTACTGATGGCCCATGGCTGCTCTCGCGGCAGTCAATATCATGTGGTATGCAAGGATATAGCAACATTATATTCAAAATTCGAACGCCTATGCTCATATTTTGCCAGCATCAAGCTAAAGCTTGCGCGATCAACGCACACGAAACCCGATGCCCAAACCCAAACGCTGTTCTGAAAAACGCCGGCAGCTCGAGCTCTAGCTGCTACGCTCAACAAACATGATCACATGGAAGACATCTACTTCCTTCGCGCGACTCAGCTGCTGTGGGGCCCACTCAGCCACACGCACACGCCCCTACCGCCTAGATTCACCATCAAATGACCGCTTCAGATCGGCGTCCTTGGCGAGGTACGCCTCAATGTCGCGGTTTTGGTCTTCGAGAATCTCGTCATTATACCAGCATCGCTCAAGAGACTCGACGGGGTAAGTGATGAGAGGATGCTTGGAATGGTTGAGCAACTTTCAGCACGCAGCAAGCTCCTTGACTGTAATTGGCTGCGCGCGAAACTTGGCTAATATGTCCTCCTGGAGCGGAAGGAGGCTCATCGACAAGTGAAGGACGCGCGCAAGCGAGAAGGTCTCCGTTGTGAGCTTTATGGTCGAGACCTATGCAACCCTCACTGGCCCCAACAGTATCGCCAGAATCTGCCGCCTTCTACTGCTGTGCCTGCCTCTGGCTTTTTGCGGCTCGTTTCTCACTTGCCTTCCTCATGCGCTCGGCCTCCTTCCTGTGCCTCGTCTGACGCGCCTCTTCAGCCCCAAACAAGCCCTCAAGAACAGCATCCTTGGAAAAATACTCCTCAACCTCGCGATTCTGCTTGTGCGGGATCTTGGCATCAGTATAGAAGGTCGTCAAAGTCTTGATGGCTTCGACAACGAGGAAGTGCTTGCTAGTATCCAGCAACTCCCAGCAAGCAGACAGCTCCTTGACAGTGACAGGGGAATCGCGCATCTTCGCCGCAATCTCCTGACCCAACGGGAGAACAGTCAGTGTCATGTTAAGAGTGCGAGCGAGCGAGAAGACCTACATTGCGAGTTCCAGGTTCGGCTCGCCGAGAGTGGAGAGAGTCATAACGGGCTTGTCATTCTTATACTTGTTGGCGTCGATGAATGCTATCAAGATAGTAATCGCCACATCGGTCGGGTAGCGGTCCACAAGGCCAATCTTCTTCGGCAGATGGTAATCGAGTACCGTCTTGCTCGGGTATGTGGTCATGTTGCACTGAGGCAGTTGCGCCCAAGCGTGGCGGACGAAGCGCTTGAGTCCACGGATGTTGAGATTGCTTACGACTACACGGCCATCTGGCGTGTAGACGTCGATGTGCAAGACAATCTTCTTTGGCTTCTGCGGAGACGTGGTCGGCTGAGTGCTCTTAGTTACCTTGATGATTTGGATGGAGGGTTTTGTTGTGGCAGCCTTTTTGCTACGGAAGTTGGGTTTGCCCATCTTGACCGAGTATAGGGTATTTTGTCCCGATAACAAGGCAGCTGTGCTTTGGAGGTGTAGGTCTTGTCTGACGTTATATTTGAAGACAGCTCGAATTTCAAGAGTCGAAATCAAAGCTGTTCTCGAGCTGTGACATAATGTGGGAGAGCAAGTTCAGGAAGTCGTAGAAAGGTCGCGGTGACTATATACACAGGTGGACTTCAGCTATATAGTAACATGGTTGTTCGTCAACCAGCGAGGCATGCAATCTGCTAGTGAATAGCATCGAATTAATGAAAGGTGAATAATGATAATCACATGTTGGGCAGCTCGTTTAGCAAATCAGAATCCAGCTGCTACAAAGTATCAGCTTCACGTACGATAATTACTACGATCCACTTCTTTTCTGGAAGATAGTGAACACAATTGATAGGCAAGCAAGATATTGTGCAAGCAGGCAGGTGCGAATTCTTTGTTACAGGCAATGAACAGGCGACGTATGTTGCTACGACCTGCTCAAGAAGGGAAACCGTGATTGGAGACGACGGCAGACGAGCATTGCTAGTGTGGATTGCATGTGAAGGCTGACAAGCCGATCCTAGCTATAGGAATCGATGCGACTCATAAAATGTATAGTGATCAGAACATGACCTGCAAAGCTGATTGGCATGAGGCCCGAGCAGTTCAGCACCCCTCTAGTACAGAAGCAGTTTCCGCAACGAACAGGGCAGGATAATCCAGAGTGGTCCACAGAGCTGAATTATCTAGGCAGTCATCGATATAGATACCGATATTGACGATGCTACGCTCTATAGTTGCCATAGCTAAGGCGCAGCTAAGACCTCACAGCTGGATTCGGCTAACGCTCTTACGGTACAGCAGAGCTAGCGTCAGTCACGGTCATTCGGCCAAGGAGAAAGACGGGGCTGCTCTATGTGCCAACGTTTCCGCAGCGACTAGCACTCCTCGGTGCCTGAGTACTCCCGCCACTCTCACCACGACGCTGCTGCACCAGCCCCGCCGTTACCAAAGCCATCATCACGGCCCCATCCACCAACCACTTCTGTGTCCTCGCCTCCCGCACCAGCACTATCGCCACCATTCCATCCACCAACCGCACCAGCATCATTACCTCCCGCACCAGCACTCTCACCACCCTCCTGTCCCCAACCCCCATCACCACCTGTCGCATCACCAGCCCCGCCATCAGCCGATGCATCAGTCTTCGGCTCCCGGACCCTCGCCTCAGCGAACATTTGGTCCAGCTCATCCTCATAGCTAATATAATTTTCCGTCTTCTGATTCTCCTCCGGAGCAATCTCGTTCTTCCGATAGAACCTATTCAGCGAAAACACAGCGTCCTTGATCAAGCGGTGACTCGCATTCTTGCCCAGCAAATCCCAAAGCGCAATCAGCGCTTGCGCCGAAATGGGCTCCGATTTGATGATCTCATGCAAGCCATCCTCTAACGCTTTTGGGGAGAAGAATTGGATGGCTCGCATGGTCGCGTAGACGTCGATCTTGAGCACGAGGTCTTCTCCGACGTCATCAGCGGTAGGTGGAGATGCATCCTCCACGCAATCGTTTGCTTGGCACCAGTCCAGCAGCCACTTGACGGCATCGGTGCTTGGCTGACAGCAGGTGAAGCCGGGCAAGGTGTAGGTCGGGTTCTTCTTGTCTTCCGTCGAGATGTTGCCGTCTCTCGCGTGCTTGGAGAATCGCTTCAGCACGTTTTCGCCGATGGCTTTGGGCAGGATAAGGTTATTGTTGGAGTTGTAAATATCGACCTTTGCCCCTGGTCGCTTCAAACCTCCCTTGTCTGAAGATTCGTGCTGGTCGGACGGCTCTTGCTTCTCGTATCTGATGCCGTTGGGGTTGCCGAGTTTGATGGCTCGGACTTCCTGAGCATGAAAATGGGCAAATCGTGAGTGACTCATTGCGAAGAGACTTGCTCGACCGTGAGATCCAGAAGAGCAGGACGGAATGACGGGACTTTAATAGGCTGATGATGACATGTTTGCCATATTCTTTGACATGAAGGGATCAAAAGAGGACGAAGCTTTCAGACCTTACCATGTCATTGAGACTCAGACAAAGTACTCGAGTGTTGGCACAAATGCTGCGTTAGGAACATGTGACGCATCGGACCACGGGACTCGCCGAGTTAGCGTGCCGCCGGGGTTATCACTGGCAAGCACAACTGCATGTGCCCACCAGACACTTCCATCCTTCCTTCCTCCCTGTTTTTCTCCACACAAAGGCGTCAACAGACATTGTGCCCTCAGGCCTTCATTGTGGGAGGGCATGGACTCACGATCAGACTCTGATGGCGAGGTAAACTTTGGTTGCTTGGGCATTAGAGGAAGAAAGGACACCCAGGGTGCTCAGGGCGCATCTTGATGGAGTTCGTCGTCGCTGGCGACATAGTAGACTTTAAAGTGGCATGTAGGTCCCTAGTATGCCATGTATCGATTTCGTGAGATCTCCCATCGAGTTACTTGTCCGTCGCAGGTACTCGGAGGGGAAAAATGCTCATTCGTGCTGCTCAATCGCAATGACTATGATGTTTGAAATTCGCACTGCGCCGCCCTGCCTTTCGCCTGACAGAGTCTCCGAATGTCTAAAACGCCAGAGCTTCCAGCACAGTGTGCACAGGACTGCTTCAGCACCCGCAGTGCAGTCCCACTAGCATGGCGCTTTTGGAGTCGACAAGACGTCTGCATTTTTTGAGCCAGTGGAGTGATGTCCTCGCTGTACTGCTTTAGCTACAGAAAGTTATCAGGATGGCGGTGAGAGACTCGAGAAATGGGTATCACACAACTTGCCTTAACGCTACATTTCTGATCACGCATGATCGTGATGCAGACCACCTTCTATGAATCTACTGAGCGATATACGAGACGGCATAACCTTGCAGTGTCATGTTTCCGTCCATGAGACGCGATCACTGTCTCGCTGCAGGCCACTCGCCGCACGAAGGTTTAATGCCTCAACGGGAGCAGACGTGCCAGCTTCAGCTCAATACGATCCCAGAGAACCTTACCTTAGGTATATAACGCGCCATGTGCATAGTGAAGCTACAAACAATATCGCAAGGATAATTTTGCCAGATAAATGGTGGACACATGAGCTGGGCATGAGGTGAAGTGTGTACAGATCGTGGAGAACACGTGCCCCCCGAGCGCCACCCGGATCGACAGCCTCGTGGCCAAAAATGGCAATATTAGCGAGACATGACCTTGAGAAGAGCTTCCATCTCCTGGTCCTGTTCGCTCAATGCATTCTGCCATATGAAATGTCCATTGCCTG